CCACAAACTGAACTCAAGGCTCTTTTGCTGAAGGCAACACCCACACAACTCATCGAACATGGAGAAGTTGAGTTAGTGCCTGCATAGAGCCTTCACCCCAACATGCTAGCATCTTTGGTACAGGGAAGAACTCTGTACACTAACAAAGGAGAAATGTAAACACCAACACAACTACAACCCTTTTGATTTACAGTGCTGCCCTGCCTTCAAGATATGCTAGTGCAATGGCGTAACATATCTTGTGGAAGTAACTAATCCTTGTCAGATTTGACTGAAGGCCCACTCAACAAGATGGAACCCATACCCTGCACTGCTTGGGTAGCCAAGAACTTGAGACTAGATATCCTAGAAACCTAGATAAAACTAAGTGCTTCTGTTCTACTAAAAGAACAGTAATAAAATGATTCCTAATGACATTCTGCTATACTTATAGATCAGTCCCTTGCTCAGTGGTCATCAGAGAAGCTTCTCCTTGCAGGAGATGGGAACCAATACAGAGACCCATAGCCAGACAACATGCAGAGTGTGAACTCTCAGCCCTAAATGGGATGTCTCCACCAAATCAGGGAACCCTGTGGAAGAGGAGGCAGAAAGAGTGTAATAGCCAGAGGGGACAGAGAACACCAGGAGAACAAGGCCTTTAAGTCAACAGGATCAACACACATATGAACTCACAGAGATTGAGGCTGCATGTTTGGGGCTTTCATGGGCCTACACCAGATGGCGTCCTAGAACTGAAAGGAGTAGTGGACACAAGCCCTCATCCCTAGCCCAGAAGCTATCTCCAATTGTTAACTACTTGCAAATGAAATTTAGTTTTCTACAAGAGCGTCTCACTGGGGAAACTACTTTTAAGAGTAGGAGGCATGCCCATCAGTAGATGACCAACAGAAAATGAACTCAAAGGCATCACTGGCAGTGTCTTGTCAGAGCTTTTCTGTTTTTATTAATTTTGTCTTATTTTTTAATTCTTAATTATTTCTCTCTCTCTCTCTCTCTCTCTCTCTCTCTCTCTCTCTCTCTCTCTCTCTCTCTCTCTCTTTTTCTCTTTCTCTCTCTCCTACAGGTCCTTTGCATATATGTTATGGCTTCTAGTTTAATATTTTTATGGTATTCCCAAGAGTGTGTCTCTGCATCTCTGTTTCTTGTGTTTTGGGGGGCTCTTTTCCTTGTTTCTTTTGTCTTATTCTGATGTGTTAGTTTTGTTCTATCTTACTATATTTTATATTATCCCTTAGAAGTCTGTTTTCTAATGAGAGACAGAAAGGCACTGGGTCTGGATGGAAGAGGATGTGGGGAGGAAATGGGATGAAGAGAGGGAGAGGAGAGCATATTCAGGATATATTATATGAGAAAAAAATCTATTTTCAATAAAAGGAAAAAAAGGAGAAGAGCCCCAGCCCATATATTCTTTTTTTTTTTTTTTTTTTTTTTTTTTTTTTTTTTTTTTTTGGTTTTTCGAGACAGGGTTTCTCTGGGTAGCTTTGCGCCTTTCCTGGAACTCACTTGGTAGCCCAGGCTGGCCTCGAACTCACAGAGATCCGCCTGCCTCTGCCTCCTGAGTGCTGGGATTAAAGGCGTGATATTGGGTCAGCAAAAACACCTGGGAGTTCACCGTCTTAAAGAATCCCAGTCTGGAGAACTAGTCTAGAAGACCATTAGCATGGGTTATGTTAAGGACGGGATTTATATTTCATTAGTATAGTCAACAAGAATGGAATTAAGAGGGCCTGTGCCCTGTGGAGTTCTAAACATCCAGATCTTGTCCTAAGGTAGAAAGGCAGCTGAGCCACAGTGGTTTGTGATAAGAACAGCCCCATTGTCTCCATGAAAAATGTGTGACACTCTTTGAGAAAGACTGAAGACTGAGAAGTGATTGGGCAGGTAAAGGAACCACAAACAATGTAGCTTTGTAAATTGGAGTGAGACAGGCTAGAGATGGACAGGGGTTTCTTAGGTCTCACTCATCAGAGTTTCTATCCATTACCACTGCAAGTAAAATATCACCATGTTTTTCAGATGCTAAACCTGAAGTTTACAGATGCTGAACATTTCCTCAAGCATGCACACAGATGACTGCAAGAATTCCACTAAATTTCTGAATTCCTTGGATCTCAAACCAATAATACATTGATGGTATAACTTCCTTACACAAAGAGAAAAGAGAAGGATTGTATACAATTTATTTCATAGAAAAATGAGGCAGTCCAAGGATAAATAACACAGAATATGTATTTCATTTTCCCAGCTTAGCAGTTATTGTAGAGTCAAGGAGAGTGAAAAGGGGAATCCAGGATGATAGACCGTCTGTTTATTTCTGTCTAACTGAAGAGACTTCAGTGATTTTAGCCCCACCTCAAAGAGATTGGTTTCTACTTGTTTTCTGTTGATAGTTTTACATTTTAGTGAGTGGAGATCATGGTGATTTTGTTTTCCATAGTCTCAAGGCCTCCCTAACAAAAGTGTTTTTCATCTTCAATCCACACAATCAAGTAGAGGGGAGTAGTTATATGTTCAGAAGACTGGGAATTAACATACCGTTTGGAGATAGTATCTGCATTGTATATTCAATTTTTGCATAAATGGGGATATATTACAAAAAGCAATAGATACTTAAGGCATTTATTATCAGACAATAGATGATTAAATCTTTGAGGAAAAGATCTATGTCTTTCCATTTTGTCGTTTTATTTTTGGAAAACTTCCCTCCAGGTGACTTTGGAACATTCCTGTCACATTTGTAATGCTCAAGGATAACCAGAGTATGAAACAGAGGCTACAACATCATGGGATGAGGAAGAACTGACTGGAAAAGCCCAGGCTTGGCTTCAGTCTCCATAGAGACAGGAGTCTTAACAGCTTTAGTTGTCATTTTGCCTCTGGGGTATAAAAGCCAATGCTGGCTGATTTCTGATTTTGCTCACATACAGTGCAAGTAAGACACATGCAGATGAGATGCTGTGCCCCAGGCAGCATCCAGGCAGCATCTGTCCTAGCCTCTAGGAACCATTCATGATGAATGTGAGGTCTCTTTGTCCCTTACTGCACAATTGTAATGTATAAACTCTTTCCATGAAACACCTTGTGTGTATTAGAGTCTTCCTCACTAGGCCTGGCAGGTAGGAAAGTATAACTCAAAACACAGTGGGTTGAAGCATTTAAACTTCTATACCTGATGATCGGCATGATGGTGATCTTTGCTTTCCTTCATGTAGAGGGAGTTTACTCTGGGAATCAGTAATCTTAGTTTGTAATTTCCTAGTGTAGTGCTAATTCTTGAGGGATTATTTGCTAGATGAATGAATGTTACATAAGACCCAGCCTTATTCCCACATCTACAGTACAGATAAAAGCCTATTTACATTGAGATGGGTATTATAGCAATTTTCCTTTTCAACTCTTCTCATGCTGATACCAAAGAAAGTCTTTAGCTAAGCAATCAAATCTCAAGACTTCTGTATCTTTTTTATTTTGTTTTTTAGCTTTTGTATTTTGAGGTAGGCTCACTTCATGCAACCCAGACTAGCCAGAAACTCAGAATAGACTTTCCTGTCTTGCCTTCCTAGTGCTGGGAATACAGATTAGTGCCACCAGCGCACCTGGCACGCTGTATCTTAATTGCCCTTCAAACGTCAAGAATCAAGTTAATCAGAAAAGAGATAAGTGTTCTCATGTTTGTTGTTAGCAAGTCATTCTTGATGGCATGAAATTATCTCACACTAAAGATTGCAGTGTGAAGAATAGTCACAAAAATCTGTATGCAGAGAATCTACCTGCAACCATATCTTGGATCTATAAGAGACATTTTTAAACAAAGCAGAAACTGTTATAAAAAGTCCTTGCAGAGTCCAAGGGCTTCAAATCCTGTCCTGTCCTGTCCTGTCCTGTCCTGTCCTGTCCTATCCTGTCATTTCCAGTTAGAAAGCTCGTCCAAAGAATTCTCAGTCCACCATTTCAGAATTGAAGAATCCTGCAGGAAATACTCCTTGTTTGGATTTTCATTCCTAAAATAAAATATCCAATATAAAATAATACATTTGGGTTATAATATACTATCCAGAAAAATGAAATTTCTTTGCTATGATTCATTCCCTAGACTTTCTTTTAAAAATAAATTGTACAAACTGGGTATGGTGGAACATGTATTTAATCCCAGCACTCAAGAGGCAGAGGCAGGTGGATCTCTGTGTATCTGAAGCTAGCTTGGTCTACGTAGTGAGTTCCAGGATATCCAGAGAGACTCTTTCTCAAAAATAAGAAATTAAAAATTTGTATTATACACTTTCTCTGTGACTAAGCCAGGAAGTTGTAAAGAGATGAAATTAAGTTTAAGTATTATTTTACTGTATAAATTCATCACAGTTAACTATTGATTGAAATCATCCTTGCAAACAACATGCCACTAAGTGTGTGTGTGTGTGTGTGTGTGTGTGTGTGTGTGTGTGTGTGTTTTCTATTTGTTTTGTTTGCTTTTTGAAACAAAGGCCCTATAAACCCCAGGTTGACCTCAAAATTCACTATGTAGCCCAGGCTAGTCATAAACTTGTGTTCTTTTCAGTCTTGCCCTCTCCACTGCTGGTATTACTGGCATGAGCCATCACGCCTTGTAACTTAAGTCTTATGATGTTTTATGGACTTCCTTCTACTCTACATTCTGAAGTGCCATATAATGCTATATAAAATTAGACTGTAATCTTAAAGTTTCATCTTAGTTATAATATAGATATCTGTATCAGATATTAATGAGAGTTTTATAGATGTCACGTTAGACTGTCTTTTTACTCTTCACTCAGCTCTTTGATTAGGTTGATGTATTAATAACTGGATGATAATGTTACGGTTTCCAATTTTCAGATGAGAGTAAAGTAATTATAATTTACTTTTCATTTTCTTTTAGATCAAGTGGTAACATTTCTGAGGCAAAGCCACATATTGCTATATAGCATTGTTACTTTCCTTATTAGTTGGAAATCATAATGCATTATTCAGTTTTAACATACCTTGGAATGTAGTCATCAGAGTATCTGTACATTTTATCTGAAAAATATTAAAAATATACAAATTAAAAGAAATGTTTACACATTTAAAAATATTTCATGAAGTCTTCTGAGGGGAGCTAAGCCCTGGTGTAAATTAATAAATCTGGTCAAGTCACAACGGCTACTACTAATTGAACAGGGGATGATAGGATTTGGAGGTGATTTGGGAGTCTCCAAGGGGTCCCTGTGCTAATGTTTACTCCTCAGGATGACAGTATCACAGAGCGCACTGGAACTTTTAAGAGTGGAATCTAAGGGAAAATCCTTTAATCACCCAGAATGCTGCTACCAAAAGGGACTAAGCATGTTCTCATGCGACTGCTTGGTAATTCTTGGAAGACAGTCATAAACAGGAACCAAACTGGCTGCTCCTCTCTGTCTCCTGGCTGAAGACGTGATCAGTTACTCTAACATGTACCCCTGCCATTGCAATCTGATATGAGGTGACATAGTCAAGGGGTGGAGCCTATGCTATAACTGTTCAGACTTTGAATTTTCTAGAACTATAAGCTAAATAAAACATTTTTCTTTATAAAATTAACTGCCTTTGGTGTTTTGTGGTAGTAATATAGTGGATAGAGACATACTCCTTTCTGAGCCAATCAAATTATGTCTTGATATTTTGAGATGAAAACAAGACAGCTTGGGCATAGTATTGAGCCAGATGCATGACTGTTTTGTGCACAGAAAGCAATGAAGAAAATCTGAGACTTCTATGCCTGTAACCCTCGTTCCTGACTGTTGTGGAACATGAACATAGTTTCTGCCTTTGAATCCCACTAACCCTTCTGGGTTTTACTGTTACTTCTGGTTTTGGTTGTGTTGGTTCTAATAGACCTTTCAAACAACAACAACAACAATGACAATAATAATAATAATAGCTCAAAATGAATCTTGAAGGTGGTAGCTCCAAGACAAATAGCTTGCTAAATGCATCTGTTTATTTAAAAGAGATGGGTAAATATAGTTTTTGAGGAATGCTTTATGAAAGTAATAGATTCATACTAAATTAATGAAATTAATGGACTTAGAGATAGTCAAGGTACAGTTTTGATGCTTAATATCAACTTTATTTTAGAGATTTTATTATCTATTCATCAATGGCTTATATACTAAACTAGAAAGATATATGTGATATGACATTTATCATATTTGAATAGAATAACTATATATTTATATATTATATGTAATGTATAATATATGTTTATTATCATATATAAGCTAGAAGGATATATGTAATATGACATTTACCATGTTTGAATTTCCTACTACAAATGAGGCATAGAACAAAAATTGAACTTTTGTTGGAGTTATTCTATAAAAATAAAGACTGGTACCCTCTCAGTTGCTGACATCAGAAACTAAATGGCCTTACAGTTTTAATATGTGAAAAACACTGTGACCCAGGAAAGCACTAGCAAGAACCATGGAAAATAATTGAGCCATTCACCAAACAACTGGGAAAGATACTTTTAGGTGAACATGTGATAGTGTAGACTTTGTCTCCAGAGAGGATGCTGACTATTTCCTAACAATTAGCTGAAGTGCTTATGAAAGTGGTCACATTAGTGAAGGAAATGGACATGTTTCATGTCAGTGATGGGGAGGAATTCTGAGGACAACCAAAGGAGGGATGTTCTTGAAGAACATGTCTTTTAAGCCGCCACAGAACCCAAAATGATGGAAGTAATCCATTTAGGATGTCAGAAATATGGTTGGTCTAGCCTTTAGGAAATGCCCTACCAAGAAACTTCATATAAAATATGAAGTTACTTTCAGCTGCTTTCTGATTAGTCTTCTGAACATGAACACTGATGAACCCTGGAGGGAGCCTAGAAAGGTCAAAAACGACACATCACAGTAGTCCCAAGTTAATGAAAGTGTGGCAAAGTCAGAAAACATGAGAAAAATAACTCATATCAATAACACAAGAAGAAAACATGGTCAGAAAATTATAAAGTGGGAAAAAAGTATGACATAGCATGTATTTATTTCTATACTTAGAAAAAGGAACCACTGACACTCGGATCACTAGGAACTTTTTAAGATTTCCTTGGTGTTGTGCTTTAAATGAGAAATGTCCCCCAAAGTCTTGGGCATTTGACCACTTGGTCTCCAGCTGGTCACGATGTTTGAGGTGGTTGGGAGGTACAGCATCGCTAGAGGAAGTATGTCACCAGGGATGGGCTTTGAGAGTTAGAAACCATTACCTACTTCCAGCTAGCTCTCTCTCTGCTTTGTGCCTGACTTTGAAGAGGTAGGCTCTCAGCTTCTCGCTTGGGCTGCCATGACCCTGACCTCCCACCATGACAGACTTCTATTCCTCTGGAACCACAAGCCTAACTCCTTCATTTAGAAGTTGTCTTGATAATGATGTTTTATCACAGCAACAGAAAAGTAACTAATGTGCTTGGAATTTTAAGTACATCTCTAAGAATATAAACTCTAGGATGATGTCTCGTGGAACATATCCATGGTTGGGAAATTAGCTAATATTGGATTGGGTGTCAGCCCTGCAGGGCACTTGCTATGTGACAGTACGAAAATTATTCAAAAGCTATGCTGATCAATTCATCTGTAGAACACAATAGCAAAACCTAGACCAGCTTCTTGGAGTGGATATAGAAAATAATTAAAACAGTGTCAGGGCATTTTATAAAATGACAAAGCTACTTATCAATATCATGTGGTCTAAATCCATATTATATAAACCACAATTTGTGCTCATTGAATTGTAAAGTTTCTTCATAAATGAGTTAACTGGAAATAGACTTATATCATTCAGTTAATAAAGTGAAATATATAAGATAATTAAATTTTGATTTTGAAGGAAATCACTGAAATTTCATTACAGAGAGAATTGCCACCAGTTGAACATTTTTGCTTATAATAAAAATTTGAGAATAAAAATAAAGAATTTTTTTTAAATTAAAAAAATAAAGAATATTGGGCTATGTAGCTCCATTGGTAAAGTGCTTGGCTAGCACACACAAAGCTCTCAGGTGGATCCCCAGCACCACATGAACTGGTCATGGTGGTGCGTGTCTCTAATCCCAGCATTTTGAAGATCAAAATAGGGGAAACGGAAGTTCAAGGTCATCCTCTACTACACAGTGAGTTTGATGCCAGCCTGAGGCACATGAAACCTGTTTACAAAACTAAACTAAAACAAAAGAATGTCATTTAGTAATAAGAATAAGGAAAATTGGGTGTCCCATAAAGTATTTTCTCAAACTGACAAATATTTTTATAAAACAAAGAATTTTTGGTAAAAAAAATTATAATATGAATTTTGGTGCCTGGAAAACATACTCATGCAATGTTTGAAAGAGTAACTGTAGAGTAGAGAAATATAGTTGAATGTTTCATCCCTAGAATAAAAAAGAAAAAAAAACACTATAAAGTTCTGTGAGAAAAGTTGAATAAAAGCAACTATGGACAAGATATTATATAATAGCACGAGGTCCTTAAATAGGACAAATGATGTCTAAAACAATACAAACTAACAAAAGAAAATAAATGAATACAGGATATTATACATCATACCAACTGCAGAAGAAGCACTGTGAAAGAAGACTTTAAAAGTCCAAGGACACTATGTGCTGCACTAACCTTAAAAAATAAATGTGTATTTGGATGCTAGCTAGCCCTTCACTACTTGGGTAATTTTAGTTTTACAGTTCTTTCTGAGCAGGTTAATAACCAATGATCTCTTGCTAAGCATGAAGGTGAGCAAGCTCAGGCTCCTGCAAAGACCTTCCCCATCACAGAGGCTCAGAAGTTTATTTATGAATAACTGGCATGATTTAAATGCTGCCTAGTCATCTCAGTGCTATGTGGCTGAATTGAAAACTGTGCTCTGCTACGGAGCAGCAAAGCGTGCAAGATCATGAGTGAGAAGAGCTGGGTGAGGTTCCCCCACCCTCCCCTGTGATAAAGATGCAAGGCTTGTGGTTGGTGTGTATGTGAGAGGCTGCAAGGCAAAGACATTTGCTTTTATGTTTCCCCTTTAGGGTGTCCACTCCTCTCTGCACACTCTGTTACAGCAAGAAACAGCAGCACATGGCTGGAACTCTAACACTGAATTCTTTCTTCTGATTCATTTCAGTCAAAAACATGCCACAGTCTAGTGAGAAGAAGGTTGACTGATAAGACCAATACACACATAAATCACATGCTTGTTTAGCCTTCTCAAATCAAAGAGAAAGAGTTGAATAAATAATATTCTTTGGATTTAATAGAAGAAGAAAAGACATTATCAGGAAAATAAATGAATATACTGCTCCTAAAGATTTGGACAGTACATTGAATAAAAATAAAGATTTATGTTGGAAAGCAGAGAGAGGGCTCATTTTCACAGCTTCTAGCTAGCTGCTACAGAAAGCATCAAGACAAGGCTTGTCATGTCTATCTGACTGAATGTGTGGATATTACACTGTCGCTGGAAGGAGAGTTCCTTTTGTAAGCTATTTAATACACCCCCAAAGTTTCTTCACTGACTGTTGGCCAAGGAGGATTCATATCTTGCAAGTTTCTCAGCCCCAAAGAGTAGCACAAAGATGCCAACATAAAAGTGATGGGAGGCCAGTAGCAGGAGCATTCCGTTTACAGACCACGTGGGAGAAAGCTGGCTAATGTGACAAAATCTCTTCTAACCTGCCTTACCAAAGAAACAGAGCAAGCCTAAGTCTTCAGCGTTAGGAAGGAATTGAGAATTTGTAGAGACAATTCTAGCTGCCTGTAGTTTCTGGAACAGAAGGATAGTATTATTTGTTCCTGTGATTTGGAAAAGATGGCAGGGTAGATTGCCACACTTGAGGAAAGCTGTTGGGAGGGGTTGGGCAGTCAGGGAGGTGAATGAGAGCAACTGGCACTTGTAGAGCCCTGGTGAAGCTTCTCTAAGGCTGATCCTCTTACATTTGTACATCAATCAATACAGTGGGTTCCTCCTAAGAAGTGTATATCAAATGAAATGACCTGAGATCCACTGATGTCTGGACTCAATCCCACTGAAGCCTCAAAACACCCACTGAAATGGAGTTGAATGTGACTCGCGGGGGCATAGCAGGGACCGCTAAAGTCCCAGATGTTGTTACCTTGTTAAATAATATAAATATGGGGACAGGGTGTTAGCCAGGAGCTACAGAGGATCTACAGGGCACAGGCATGGTTGGAGCAGCAAAGAGGCTGGGAAGCTGATGCCTACTAAAATAACGTACTAAAGTTAAATGAAGTGACATGGGCCACAGAAGGCCCTTGGTGATTACTGTGGGCGAAGTAATTACTGTGGAAAGAGGGCAAGAAGCGCCAGGTCCCCAAGGCTTGTGATGTGGACTATACCAGGTACACAATCAACCTGCTGAGTCCCAGCACTGTGCTAAGATATAAGCAGGTTTTCTTTTTCTCACAAGATGCTTATATTCTGCATGGTGTTTTCCATTTGCTGTAAAACGGAAACTGAGACTCAGAGAAGCTGCTACTTGCACAAAATCTGACAGCTGAAACCTAAAATCAGAGTGAATTTTAATTCCCATCAGATTTGATTTTCTTTAAGAGCTAGGCTGTTAAAAATTGAATGGCTGGCATTAAGCAAAAGAAAGACATCATACACTTAATTTATTATTTCCTATTTTCAAAAATGTTTTCTCCACTGAACCACTTTAAAAAACTAGAGCCTTTATGGTAAGGCTGAGCCAATTATGGCTTGTATACGTTTTTAAAAAAATCAAACCTATCATGCAAAACTAAATGCAAAGGGACTGCCTCTGTTTGTATGATGGAAAATGATCCGGATATGGACAAATAAAATCTAATGTGCAAAGCACCCAAAGTGAAAATTATAAAAGCTATTCATATTGAGATGTGAAAAACTAGTATATGTCCACCTTGGCTACTCAGGCATGATTTTGATATTGGATTGCTATGTGACCTCAGCGACGTCATTCATTCTTAAGTACCTCTCAGTTTTTAAAATCTGCATGACGATGACTTCTCCACATTATCAACACTTTGGAAGCTTCTAAGTAGATCAAGGACACACTCTACAATTTGATCAGCATTTACATTCGCTTTATGCAGGTTTTCTTAGACATATGTGCTCTGTTTAACTCCAGTTTGATAACTTAGTTTTAGCTCTTTTCATGAGTTTGGAGAAAGTACTTTTTTTTTTTGAATCTTTCTTGACCACTTACAGCTTTAGCTGAAGTTTCTCTGTCCTTCAAATATTAAAGCACCTCCCAGAAATAGTTGAGCTTTGGTTCTATTGTGCAATGATCCATGTATTCAGTGTACACGTGCCAGGTGCCCACTGTGTGCATTATACCATTTTAATTATGGCATGTGTAGGCAAAAGCCACCTGGCTAAAACAGGCAAAGCTAAGAGTGGGAGTGTCAGATCCACTGACCTGTTCCAGACCTGCTGTGTCGTAACAGGTCTAGGTTCAGTCTGTGGCTTTTCCAGTCAGTGCTGAGTCCTGTGGCCAGAGCCTGAGGGGACTGAATAACTTCAGTCCAGCCTTGGGGAGCAACTCTTTGCCTTTGTCACTGCCTCAAAAGATCTCCATTTCCCGATTTGTTCATTTAGAAAAGCCTGCTTACCAGAATAATTCCTTCCAGCTGTCACTCCTGAGACAGAGAGAAAGCTAAGTTTGGGAGCTTCTTCTCACATCTCTAATGTTCTTTCATTCTTAAAGAGATCCCTCAGGGTGAAAACAGTACCACATAGATTTTCCATGATTATAATATGCTATTAATGACATTTCATAGCAGTATCTACTCCGGAGGTTTGCCAGTGGTGATAGAGTCTGCATTCAAGCAGGAACCACAGAACAATTTTCCAGAAGGTCTTACCTTGTTGCTGCTTCTCTACATAGTGGGAAATATTGAAGATTAACGATATAACCAGAGCCAAACCAAAGAAGGCTAGAAGTCCCCAGAGGAAAAAGGGGCATCCGGAGATTCCTGGAAACAAAAGTAGATATTAGATATGTCTGTGATACAGCAGCTTACCACACATGTGTTTTACTTCAGCAAATGCTGCAGTTCAAACCACTGTGTTTAGCTGAGTGTGGCAATTCACACTGGTGAGTGCGGCACTTGAGAGGCTAAGGTATTAGAATGGCTAGGAGTCTGGGCGAGCCTGGCCTTCAAAGTAAGAGTTTGCCTCAAAATTAATTAATTAATTAATTTCCTCTACTTGTAATGAGTGACAAATCTGCCAGAAGATTAATAAACATTGACAACCAGATATTCGCAGATTTCAAAGCGTTGATAAGTCTCTGGATTCAGCGTGGTTAAAGCAAGATTTTCATATTTTTAGTGCTAATAAAATGAAAGATAAATTTGGCTCTTAAAGGGTGAGAAGTGCTGACTGATTATAAGAATTCAATTTAAAAAAATCAAGATTACCTTGATCACTCCAAATCTTCATTTCATAGATTCTTCCCAGACTTAATTCTTCAGGCTAAAATTTTATGTGTGTGTATGTGTGTGTGTGTGTGTGTGTGTGTGTGTGTGTGTGTGTGTGTGTGTGTGTGTTTCTCTTTCAGGAAATCACTTGGTTCTTTTCCTCAGCCCTGGGACTGCAACACTTTAGATATTGGGATGAAGCAGCAATTCTGCAATCATTGTAGCACAGTTTTATTAGCATGGGCCACAAGGACCTTTCCTCACGACTGAGTGTCCTATTAATGAACAGGGGAGTGTTCACTGCTATGAAGGACTCTCTTTTCATTTTATTTCTGAGAGGCAAAAGGATTTAAGGTGGTTATTGCTAGTTGATTACTCCAGATGATTTATTGTTACCTCCACAGATTGATAAGCAACTGTGAACATAACAGACCACAGTTGCTATATCTTGGTAGTCATGCCAACATGACCCATGTCATACACTGATCTCAGAAGAGTAACTTCTAAATCTCTGTTAAAAAACCAATATAAATTTGATAACTCCCTTAGGCCAGAGTCTATACCCGATACTAAAGAATCAAACATTTAAAACAAACAAACAAAAAACTAACCAACCAACAGAGGCCTTGCTTTCATGAAACTCCTTTGTGGGGAACATAGATGTTGCACATGTCATTAGAACTGCAAGCTCTAAATAGCTTGCAAGTAAAAGTAGCTGTAAGAGAGAGCACAGTCCTTCTGAGTCCCTACTCTCTCACCATGAGACCAAGTCAGAGACCAAGCTAGAACCTCTTAGGAAATTAAAACATCACTTTGTTAAACACAATAAACAGTGTTAAAAACTTCACAGAGGAGAAAATTGTTTTGCTTCCCTTGTCCTGTCTTTAAGCACTAAATGAGAATATTGGGTGTCCATGAAAACATCTTCGTGCTTCTCTACTGTTTTCTGTATCTCAAATATGATGTTTGGATTGGGACTGCTTCACTCACTTCTTGTTGTTTAGTTGCCCTCTGATGTTCCTGTGTTCAAGTGGGCATCACTGATTTTTAAATAAACATGCTCAGGCATATAAAGAATTAGTTGTACTACATATGTATTTATGATATAGCCAAGCACATTCATATACACATATAATTTACATGTCATTTATTTGTATATGTGTGAATGTGGTGTATGTGCATGAATGTGTGGGTGGGCACATGAAGACCAGAGGGTGTGTGGGGTTTCTCACTCTATTACTCTTTGCTTTGTTCCTTTTAGGCAGGGTTTCTCACTGAACTTTGAGCTAGGCTGGCAGTCAACAAGCTCCAGTAATCCTCCTGTTTCAACAATGCTGGCTTTACAGACTCACACGAGACCACACCCAATGATTTGGTTGTTTTGCTTCTTAAACATGGATGATAGGATCAAAGCTCACTTCTTCCTGTTTGTACTCTCCCCCATTGAGCCACCCCTGAACACTATATATTCACACACATATTGTTCCAATTTAAACTAATTTGAACTTCATTTAAAGCCAGAAATATTTGTCTACTTATTACTTGCTATTTAATTTAATTCTGTTATTGTTCCTATATTTTCAGGACACCATAAACAATTGAGAATAGGGCTATTTTTTACTTCCTTATGTGACAACATATAATGTGTTCTTTATAAAATAATTTTCAAGGGTTAATTAATAATGGAAAAAATAACTGATAATGATAATGAAATATGTGGATTTCTTTCTTTAAGGGAATATTTGTGTTTCATAAAATGTAAAAACAATAGAAGTCTTAATAATGTTTTCCCTGTGCAATAATGTTATTAAAAACAACCAAATCTTATTAAGAGGCAGCAACTGATGTATTCCTCATGAACAAAACTCTACCAAGTATTTATGAGCATTCTATAATATAGTAACTACTATGTCAAATATACCTAGAAATTCTGCATATCACTGATATCTTATATACACACAAAACAGTTTATTTGATTACCTGCTTGCTTTTGTTTGTTTGAAACAGTCTTGTGTAACTCAGGCTGACCTTGAACTCACTAGTGCTGGGATTATAAGAATATGCTACCATGCTCAGCATTTATTGATTTCTGTATAGGTAACTGCTTGAAAAATAAAACCATAAGAAGCCTGGGAATATTAGTAAAGTATGACCTGCTAAAACTACACACCTTTATGCTTTTAGGTTAAGCATTGGGAAGATGAGTGGCCAGATGAAAGAATAAATAATATTGAGACTGGAGAGGTTGCTCAGTGGGTAAAGGTGTTCGGAGCCAAACCTCACCATCTTGAGAAAGATCCCTGGAGCCCACATGGTGGAAGAAGAGAGCCACCTCCTGCAAGATGTCTTCTGACCTCCATATACAAATAAATAAGTACAATTTTTACAGAAGTTTTTAAAGTATATATATATAATGTAAAGGACTTTCTTACTTACATCCAAGGTTTACAATTACAATACACTATCTTCACTGACCAGCTTGGCTCTGTTTCTACATGCACAGTTGACAGCAGCTTCTCATTTGTTGCTGCTTTAGTTGATCCCACCACATCACTCAACACTCCTTTGCAGAATCACCATCTTACCATCTAGCATGATATGCTCCCCTCCCTGAAGAACTCTGGGTAAAGTTGGTGAAGACTTTTTTTCACCCATGGACATGTATGCATGTTGTATATATGTGAATAGATGTATATGCTGGTGTACTTGCCCATGTGGAGGACATGATGGTCAGAGGTTGACTTTGGCTGTTTTTCTCTTGCTTGTCACATTAATTTTTTTTTGAGACAGGGTCTCTCAGTGAACCTGGATTTCACTGTTTCAGCTAAACTGGTTTACCAGTAAGCCTCTGGGTTCTGTCTCTCTCTGCCATACAGTACCGAGGTTATAGGCAAATGCCACCACACCCAAGTTTTACATGGGTTTTGGGGATCCTAACTCAGGTCCTCATTCATGAGCAGCAAGTACTTTACCTTCTGAGCCACCTCCCCAGCCCCAAGTTTTTCTTGTTAAATGTTCTCCACAGCCTATGACATCACTTTATTCCTTATCATAAACTCTTTCCACAAAATGCTACATCAGATTTCCTGCTTATCATTTGGGGTTTAACTGCTTTCATCTCTCCATCATATACCATGCTCCAATCACTATGAAGTACTTGTAGTCATCAATAGATACAATACCTCATTATGTTCTTATGTCTGTTAATTGTCCTTTGCCTGAAATGCCTTTCTCCTCAGATTAACTCGAAATCAAATAGACATTCTTCTCTCTGAGACTTTCCTTCATCTCTTTACACTTTAACAAGCATTCTGTTAATCATTTGTGTACCAACTTCACTGCTAATCTAAACTGTGAACCTTCTAAGGGCCAGACACTGTCTTATTTATCTTTGTCTTTATACTTTAATTTCTCCATCTGTAAAAGGAAAGTAATAATAATGTTTATTGTTATGAGATTGAGTGAGGTTTTCAAAACAGTGTGACTAACTATTAAAATGCTCAATAAATGTAGCTGTTGATATTATATTGTAGTATTATCTTTGTTACATTATCTTCTCACCCCTGGTAAGGATGTTATTATTCCTGTAACAAATTCAAGAGATTGTCATTTCTCACTAACCACTATCAGATCACTCAATAACTGTAAAATTGAATGAAAGATAATTAATATAATATCCAAGAGCCAAAAGAAAGGTTCTGGCCAAGTATGAAGTCTAGAAACATCCACAACTGAGGAAGAAATGCCACAGATTCTGTTCCACTTATCTCTAACTCTACTGAGGAGAAGACTCAACCTCCCATCACCTGGGAAACAGACCTCTGTGCAAGAGACAGTGATGCATGAAGCCACTGAAGCTTTGGTACAAGTGTGCATCAACAATACCCAGAACTAAAGACATCTGTCTGCTCTGAATCCATAATTACCAAGAAATGTGGCGGTTATTCATTTGTTTCTCAGAAAACTTGAAATAAGCAGTTAGTGATGGCTAGCCATCTGATTAAACTCAGAGGTGTGTCCACTATAAATATAAAACCTGTCTTCTTTTAGGAGTTTGATCGATGTCAGAAAATGTCTGGAAAAGAGAATTTGAAAACTATTACAAGTGGAGCTAGGCTATGAGACCAGTTGCCAGGCCAGAAAAGGTATACTTGCATAAGGCCAAGATCTTAAGTCTTGAAGAGCTCACTGTGAGTGAAAATGACCTCCTGGTGGGCAATATAATAATGCTGAGAAGCCTGTCATGAGGGTTTGCTCTCTCTGCTCTTCTCTTTTCAGCATTTGAACCTAAAAACCTAAAGTGTTTATTTTCCTTAAGTTCGTACCATTCTGTGGAACAAAAACCAGATGTTTTCCTATGTGTTCATAGTATAATTCTTCCTTCAGGCACTTCCCCAAGCAGCTAAGCTGACTGGTTATTTTCAAAGAAAGAATAATCAGTGCAATCCAAATTACTTTTTGAGAAATACCCATCATTTTAAAAACTGTATTCCTCACAGCTACATAGGATAGTAAACATTATGCAGTATACTGTAATTTACTATTAATTCTCT